GCCTGGCCGTCCCCATGAGCTGCTGCTGCTGCTGCTGCTGCTGCTGCTGCTGCTGCATCATTTTTTTATTTTTTTTTTATTGTGTCTCAATTGCACCCCTGGTGCAGCAGCACGCCAATAAAACACTAACGCGTGCGACTGTGTCTGCCGCCGTGTTTGTTTCGGCGTGTTCAAAAGGCTCCATTACACATTGGGGAAAGTGCACTTTTTATGAGAGGACGTGTGTATAATTATGGTTTAATTGCTTTCCCTCTGATGTGCTGTCATCTGTCACAGCCCGAAGACAGCAAATAATGGTTCTGCTGCTGTCATTTTGTCACCCAGACGCTCGGCGTGCAGAGTGCAGACCAAACACCAGTCACTGATATGCATCTTGAATTACTGATAAGCGCTCAAGTACGACCGCCTTTCGCCACACGGGCGCACGTCAGCAGAAATGCCCCCGCCCTCCGCTTTTATTGTCATCTACGCAGCGCTGCCCTCTGTGACGTGTCGATTAGTGCAACATCACGACTTTGCGTTTGTGTGTGTGTGTGTGTGTGTGTGTGGTGTGTTAATTAGGCGTGCCGTCTACGTACGGGTAGGTCAAAAAGTTCTAAGACAAATAATTTTTTTTTCTTAATTATTCAGATGAGTAGAGTTAGTTTTTCTTTAGTGTTTCTGACCCGTTGTCTTTGACAGATAAAGCTGTAAGAAATATTCATTAATGTTGACATTTTTTTTTCAATTCTGGTTTAGCTAAAAATGATTTAGAAAATTCAACTGATTTTTATTGGAAATGTCTTTGTTTTTGAAGTTTTAAAACTCTTTCTTGGGGTTTTTTTTCTGTCCACCCCAGCCAGGCAGTCAGGCAGGATTTGAACCTGCAATCCTCTGTTACCAACCCTCATTGTTTCACCACTAGTCCACTGCTGTCCTGATAAACTCCGTCAAAGCTGTCAGAGTGATTTGTTTTACATGTTTTAATTATTCAAATTGTGAATTAACCTTCTGACCCCAGATCTTTCCGACTCACCCCTGTATATATATATGTAGGTGTGTGACAGGAGCGTGAGCGGGCCTCCGTGTTTGATGAGTACCGTACATATACGGGTCCTGACAGGTGTAACAGTTGTGTTGTGCTTTAAGCGTCTTGTTTGTCTGGCACGACGCTTGCTGTGGTTGAGAAATGCAGTAAACAGAGAGAGGAAAGCAGCCTGGGGGCTAATTTATTCACTCCCCACTCAGCCCCCGTCACAGAGGCCTGTTGCAGCGGCCCACCTGTCAAATCTAAGAAAGCTGCCGTATCCCGGTCCGAGTGCACGCAGCTCCCCGCACCTCACTCTCAGCAGGACCAGGCGCTTTTGGCTAACGCGGAATTAACCGCGGCGCATCCGTCATCGGGGCCGGATATCTGGATTAACCAGACGGCCAGCTCTCTCTGAACACGATGGACGACGAGGACGTTCGACATTTCCATGTTAATGGTTTCTCTCGGCGGCAGCTGTTTAACGACTGTCGAGCGACTGTAGTTTATTATTTCATCACATCTGTCCGCCGACATTCGCTGAGAAAAACACGCCACGGGTCGGCGTAGTGAAGGAGCTGTGACCGTGGCGTTGTGATGTTCATTGTCTTGTAGGAGTGGGAGTTGGAGGAAGTGTCTGGCTGTTACCAGACAGAGGTAATGGATAACAGAGCGCCCAGACAGCTGTAATGGATGAGCGTGCAGACTCGGCCGCTCTCCTCTATCTCCGACGCTCAGACGCAGAGTTGGGTTGAACTGGAACCAGATCACAATGGGTGTGATTGAAACAATGGGACAATGATGTCGGTGATTTGGTGAAAGAATGTGTGTGTGAGTGTGTGTGTGTGTGTGTTGTAATTTGTCCGTCTGTGTAATTTGTTTGTTTGTTTGTTTGTTTGTTGCGGCTGTGTAATCTCTCTCACTGTGTGCCCAGTCATGTCGCTGCGCGGTGGTGCTGTGGTATAATTAGCCAGACAGTTGATGGTGTTTAATGGCTGTTCCCGCCGACTTCTTATTAATAGGGAGGCTTAAAGTAGGTGGGCAAATGAAACGCGCGCGTACACACAACGGCGCCCGCTCATCACGGAGTAAATCGGAACCAAACGTCCCTACGCCGATCAGGCCGACGTGTTGCACAGTGCACGTGCCACACGAGCTGTGATTTCTACTTATTTGTAAACAAAAGCGCCGACGCGTCGCGCTGAAGCTAAACACTTCTGACTAGCGTGTTTGATTTATTACTCTCAGATCCCAGCGTCCTGACTTAAGAGCGCTATTTCCCAATATTTCTTAGCTCGATGGAAGGGGGCGGCGGGTGGAGGGTGGGGGGTTCAATTGCTGTAAATTCATTCTGCTGCTGTAAACAAGTAAAAGTAAGCTAGACATCCCTGGGGGTCACCTGGGAGCCAGGGCTGTGGTTTCTCCAAAGAAGGATTGAGGAGTGGAGAGGATAAGTGCCGCCCTGCTCCTGTTCCTCAGAGCACCGTTCTTAGATGCCTTTTTTTTTTTTTTTTTGCTGCTTGCTGGTGAAAAATGTCTCCTGGCCCCTTTTGCTAGTACAGTGAGGCGTTATCAGCCCTGCCTAGCTCTCTCCACGGTAACGAGCCCCCAGGCACAGTATTATCTGTTTACGATAAGGATATTAATAAAAGCGTGCTCTAGTTATGTGCCTGGGTGCCCTGTGTGTTGGTTTGGGGGACTGAAGGGGG